GTCTGGGTGGTGGCAACTGGAAGAGGAGAGATGGGGCCAGGTATGAATGCTGCCGGGGAATGGAATTGGCCAGACTTGGGGGCTGGGGAGGGGGTGGTAATTCCCAGGTTTTGGGGAACTAGGATGGTGAGTGGTTCAACCAGGTGTCAACCAGGACAGGAAATCCAGGGGTAGAAGTGGGTTTGAGGGCAAGGGTTCATTTCTAGACTGTTGAATATGAACACCCGTGTGGCACCTGAGAGATGTTCAGTGATGAGCATCTGATAGTCAGCTCTGGAGATCAGATTGAAGGTCGGCTGCAAATGCAGTCAGGGACAGTGGCACACACGTGGCTGGTGCCCCCCGGTGTTTGTTCCCCACGTCCTCCATCCCAGCCCGGGCGTCTTTGTGCCTGCGGGGAGCCTGCCCCACTCCCAGCAAGGAGGGCCCTGTTTGACGGAACCGTTCCATTCCCCATGGTCACTGGCTTGGCGTTGGGCACATGGCCCAAGAGGTCCAGTCAAGGTGAATGTCAGGAGTCTTGGTCAAAATCCTGGGCCAGGAGGGTTTTTTCTTTCTTTTGTACTTTCTCTGATTATGATCGTCTGTGGGTGTGAAGCCTGAAGTCGCCATCGGGTTGCCATCCTGCTACCAGGCACGTGTGAAGCCAGGCCCTGAAGGAGGGCATCGTGGAGGGTGGGGTTCCTGCCTCTCCTACCCTTTGGAGGGGTGGAGAGAAGCAGCTGAACTGGCGGGTGCCCGGAGGCACTTAGAGCCCATCAAAGCGCAGCGCTCCCGCTGGGTCCCTCCACCACGCTGGCCTCAGCCCCCTGCAGGCCTCATCAGCTCCCACCTGGCGCCGCCTCACGGCTACTCTGTACCCCTCTGCCCCCTGAGCTGACACAGGTCAGCTTTCTTCAGCTGGCTGTCATCCGGGCTGCACCCCACTTACCAGAGCCTTCCTGAAATGACCACAACAAATGCTTGTGTTATCAAATCGTGGAGGTAGCACTCACTGTTCTGGACACAGTGCTAAACACGTCCTACAGAGACTAACTCAATTCACTGTTGTTGTGTAAGCGGGTAAGTGCTACAATTGCACCCATTTTATGGCTGAGAAGACTGAGGCATATGAGGCTAGATAACTTGCCCAAGGTCACAGGAATTAAGTGGCAGCACCAGGGTTTACACCCTCACCCCCAAACCATTTTGTGCTTCAGACTAAAACACTCCTCTGCTCAATCTAGATGGTTCTCCTCACTTTGTCACCAAGAACCTCGTGGGGTGGGTGTGGTTTATCTCATTTCATGTAGGAAGGAACGGAGGCTTGGAGAGGGTTGTGACTGGTTGGAGGTCACATGGATGCTAGTGGTGGCGCAGCTGAGATTTGAACTGTCTGCAAATTCCAAACTCCCCTGTTGCATCATCTAGTGCCTGAGAAATTTAGGCACAAGTTTGGGAACAAAAAAGTCCGGATTGCAGAAAATGGCCAAGTAGGAGAGAACTGTGGCCAGGGAAGCCCAGTCCCAGGAGGAGGTAGAAATCAGACAGGAGGCAGGCCTGAGCCGGCGGGGGCTGCAGGTGGTCAGGAACAAGGTTGGGTCCGCCATTCCTGGACACGGAGCTGTGCACTGTGCCAGTTGCCAGTTTAATATCTCGTATGTGTGTATGCGTGTGTGTGTGTGTGTTGTGAAAGGAAAATAAATCTCAGAATCCCAAAATCACTAGGCCAAAGGGAGAAGTCAAGCAGAGAACTGCATCAGGCAAACCTGCCTTCCATTTTATTCCTAAATAAGATAACAAAGATTAAAAAAAAAAAAAAAAAAAAAAAAGCTACATACCTCCATACCTCCATCACAATTTCCCACAAGGAAATTCCTTGGGGACTGCAAAAGCCTCAAACAGTTCTGCTGAATCTCACTCTGGCGATGTAAATTGACAGCTTGTCTTCATAGATGTGGGAAAAAGGCAGAACTCAGTCATCCCTCTGCTCACCTGAGACAAATGCATATCTGATAGCTTCCTCTGCCCTATTTTTTTTTTTTTTTTAGACAGAGTCTGGCTCTGTCGCCCAGGCTGGAGTGCAGTGGCCGGATCTCAGCTCACTGCGAGCTCCTCCTCCCGGGTTCACGCCATTCTCCTGCCT